TGTGAAGGTTGTGTTGAAACAAACAATAGACCCAACAACATTGTTTGAGTGTGTTTTTAGGAAGATATTTGATTTAGTGAGTATAATGGTGTTGATGTGGATGGTTTTTGTGATATAATAAAAGGAAGGAGGGGTGCAAAAGAACAAAAGAGAAGAGAACTGCCATGGGCCTTTCCTCATGTAACCAAAGGATAAACAAGACTCCCAAACTTGAGTAGACTTCAACCAGAGGTCCCATCCCACTGCACCAGTTGCCTTGAAGGTTCTTGAGTTCTTAAGCTGGAGCCCACTTGCAGTAAAGAGTGTTAAACATTTTTTCTTACTTGAAATTACCATAAAAGGAAAATTTTTAGCAAAACGGACACGATCAGGAGAGAGTTTTTTTTTTAATTACTTTGTAATCTTAAGTATATATATTATTTAATAAACTTAATAAAGTAAGTTTTGACAATATTTCAAAAAAAATCATAAGAATTTAAGAATTTATAATTATAAATCTAATTGAATTTTTTTAAAGATAAAGAAAAATATAATTTTTTTATAATATTTTAATTAATTGTTTTTTTTTTTTAAATATAAATAAGTATAAAATGCAAGACATTATTTATTAAGTAATAATACTGTTATTACATTAAGTATCTATTTAAGTTAATACTAGCCTATTGTATTTTTATTTCAAAATATTAATTATATTATATAGGTAGGTCTATATGTCAGGTAGAAAGCATAAAGAAGATAAAAATTCTATTTCCAATTTTAAATCACCTAATCTTATATTTTTTCAGTTTATAAAGATCCAACTATGGTTTAACATGTTAGTTATTATTAGATTCTTTTTTATATTTCTATTATCCACTCACATAATTTATAATATATATGAACTTATTACTTTATATTTTCTAATAAATATTTCAAGAATTATTCTTGATTAGCTTAAGCTATCAAATCTAGAAGTACAAATATCAAGCAAGATGCAACTTCTATAAAGTGGTCAAAGCAGTTTTTATATATTGATGCCATATAATAATTCTTTTTAAAGTTTCCTAAATAAGTTAACATGCTTTTTGCTATGGAGTCTACCATACCAGTTGGGATTAACGGCTATGGTTCTATCCATATTAATAATCTGATAGCTGATATGGTATGATTATCTTTTTCTAATCTTTTGAAGAAAAGAAACTGATCATAGTTTTTGAATTTGTATAACAATCTTGACTATAACTGCATCACGGGACCCATACTGCATTTAGTGATCCAGATACTCTGGAAGGTATCTGATCTGCTCCTGACGACCTGCAAATCTGAGACATGTTTCCAGATGCATGTATGGTATGATTCTGACCCCTAATAATATGCTATGCTATCAAAACGCTACTAATTAATTTACTATAAGTAAAGTAATCAAATTAGAAGCATAAGGCCATAGAGTATGCATATTTATTTTATTTTCTTTATTATTATTTTCTTTTTTATTTCTTTATGTTAATTAAGTACATATGTCTTTGGAGGTTAAGCCCAATATAGATATATGTATTTTGATATTTATTTATTTATATATTTTCATGTTGTATGAAGCCAACATATATAAAAGGATGCTCTTTTAACCTTAATAAAGTTTCAACTTCTGTTGGTGTTAAAATTCAATTGCTTAAAGTTCACTGCCTTTTTAAATCACTCACAATTTATTTAAAGACTTTTACAACTTGGTAGTAGCAGATTTAAAGAACTTTCTCTTTGCAAGAATAACTTAAGCAAAACTTTTCCAAAATGAATACCACTCAGTTTGCTATCTTTATGAAAACCTTTCAAAATGTATAAAAGCCTTTGCTGTAGAAAAAGAGAAAGTTGCTGAAAGTACTGCCTTCTTATCCTCTACTCCTATTACAACTTATGCTCTAAAATTTCTCTTAGAATCCCAATGTTTAAGGGAGAGACTGGAAAAAATATGCAAGTATGGCTGTGCCAGACAAAGAATATTTTACATGCCTAAGAAGTTTTCAATGAGGAACAAATGATACACTATGTCACAACAGGATTTGAAGAAGCTGTACTTTACTGGTTCGTTAACAAGGTCAATAATATCACTACCCCTGCCTTCACTGACTGGGCCCAATTCAATAAAGAGCTCTTGGCTATATTTCAACCTCCACACTACTAGCAACATTTGCGTTGCCAACTCAAGAACCTGCAATAAACAGGAATCGTGCAAGAATACATTTCTTAATTTAGGAATTTGATAAGCCAAATTGATGACATGTACCAATTGGATTAAGTTACTTATTTTATAGAAGGCTTGAAGCCTGCAACAAAAATGGAAGTGAGTTACAAGTCCTCTGAGAATCTTGACAAAGCTATTCACATTGCAATCCACTATAACACTATTATGTTTGGACTAGGTTGTCCAGTGATAAACCATACCTTCTAGAGGACGAATCAATTTATAAAGCTATTAGGAACCAGCACCCATGGAATTAGACCATATTGAAACATACAAGAAGCTAGTCACTATCTAGAAAAAGCAAGTAAAATATTACAATTGTGAAAAGATGAGTCACTATGCCTAATACTATTGATCAAAGAAACCTAAAAGAGAAAACAAAGCAAAAGTAATTGTTATTGAAAAGCAACCTATCACCTTGAATGCAGAATTCATTCACATAGAAGAAAACCAAGAACAGTTGTTCTGATTCAATAGTAAGATTAATGAATGCTTATATGAATCCTATTGGATTCTAATGCTTCCAAGAATTTTGTAGACAAGAAGTTTGTAGAAAAAAACTGAATACACAAGAAACTGACCTGATCATTCTCTATGGAATTTGTTGATGGACAAAGAAAGGAAGTAATCACCAAAGTAAATGTCAAAGCTCTAGAGTTAAGAAAATATCACACCTTAAGTTTACTATCCAAATCCTGAAATTGTAAAGATATGATACTATCTTGAGAAAACCATGATTGTATCAAGCCAACCCTCACATTGATTGGAAAACCAACATTCTTTCTTTTAACAATGGACCATGCAATATTCAAATCTTTGTTAACATCTTCTGGATCCTAGCAAAACCTGAGTACCACTTTCTCCTTGTTTTCAGATACCAGCTTATAAGAATATCTGTTAATAAACAAATGTTTATTATATATGCCACCTCTGAAGAAGTCACTTCAAAAGAAGTAAAACTATTTCTCGAAGAAGTTTTCATCTTTAAAGAATTTATTGATATCTTCTCTGATGAGTTATTCAATCAGTTGCTATTCAAGTGAAAAATTGATCATATGATAGACTTGGTATCAAAAGCAAAATCACTTTCAAAACCCACCTACTGACTCTTATATATGGAAATAAATAAACTTAAAAAGCAGCTCACTGACTTGATCGACAAAGGATTCATCAGGCCAAGTATTTTATCTTTGGTACTCCAGTACTCTTTGTGTACAAGAAAGAAAAAATGTTAAGACTTTGTGTTAACTATTATGTCTTGAACCTGGGTTGTACCTTATCTTAATCAATTTCAATTAATATTTTATTTATTCTATAATTAGTTTTAGAATATTATTTTAATATTAAATTAATATTGAATTTATTATAAATTTAATATAGTGGATTATAATTCATATATTAAATTTATTATAAGATGATATTATTTTAATATTAGTTTAAAATCCTAATTAATTCTAATTTAATTAAATAAAATAAACTCAAGAGTATTTTAAATTAATTTTATTAATATATTCTATTTTAATACTAGTTGAATCAATATATTAAAATAATTTAAAATTAATTATAAATTATTTTTTATTCTTTAAATAGATTTTCAAAAATATAATTTATTTTTAAAATAACTATAGTTATAGCTAAAAAATTTTATAATTTGATTCAATTTTATATTAAATTTTTAAGTTTATATTAAACTTAATAAATAGAATATTCTTTATTATTATTTTTAATAATGTTTTATATCTTATGTGGTTCTATATAATTCTGTTTAATTTCAATTTTTAGAACTATGATTATATTATTGCAAAAAATATTTAATGTAATAGTAATATTTAATATACATATATTAATAAAGATTTATATCTAATACTATTTAATTTTTAAAAAAATTTTAATTGTTCTATTATAATATACTTATTAAATAAAAATAATAAAGTTAATTAAAGAAATTCTAAAAAATTTGAATGATTCTTTATATACAAATATATGCTACAAATATATTGTATTCAGAAATAATTTATTTTTAATTAAAATATTAAAACATTATCTAATATTAATAATCATAAAATCATAAAATTACTTTTATACAAATATTTTTATATGTAATGACATAACAATTATTCAGTTAATATTATAATAATTGCTAAAAACTAATCTATAGTAATTATATAGATAATAAAAAGCACTAATCAACTTTCTTAATAAAGTCTTTTTTTATATATAATTGAATTAAGAACAGATTTAGATAATTTATAATAATTTTTAAATGATTCTTCATTTATTGGGAAGGACTATATATATATATATTTGTGTTTTTTCTGATAAAAATAGTACTTTCAAAAAATATTAGAATATTATTATTCAAGAAATTTTGTCAAAAATAAATTTATTTGAATCTTTTGATATATTTGCGACAAAAATTAAAAAAACAATTAATATTAATTTTTTAATTATTTTAATATAACTATCTAATTTGTTCTGTATTATAATATTAAAATTACTTATATATTAATATACTGTATAAAAAACTTTTTAAATATGGTAGATTGTTGATCAATAAATTATCGAAAATACTTTCGATGTTCCAACTAACAAGATCACCTTATGTAAAGAAAATCCACTCAAATCTTTTTCTTTCATATAAAAGGCTTCACAATGAGGCAAAATTACTTAAACATACACAAAAGGTTCCGAAGGTGGCAGCGAAAATAAATTCTAATCTAAACGAAGGGCATGTTTCAAATTTGAAGAAAGAAACCATTGGTTTGCCGAAAGCATCGAACAAAAAATTAGGGTAAATACGTTGGGTTTGTATTCTTAATATGACTAGTCAAACCCTTCAGAGTTCTTAAATAAAAATTATAAAAAATTCGAAATAACCCGTCGTATCAAGATCTCGACAAGAACTTTCCAAAACGCGTAAAACCAAACCTACATCCGTGAAAGATTCACTCGAAATTAAGAGTACATCAAAATCTCCGAAAAATGTTGCAAATAAACAAAAAATTGTGAATGAACAAAAAGCCAAAAATACTCGAGTGGCTGCTATTATACCCGATCCGACGAAGGAGGTCACCGTAAACCCTTCAACCATTGTGGCTATTCCTAATCCAGTGGATGCTAATATCAAGGAAACAGAAATAAGTTCTGCAGATATTGAGAATCCAGTATCGTCCATTACTTATTTGGAAGTCGGCGATTTTGCTGAGTTAAGAAGGTAAACCATTATAAATTAAGATCCACATTATCGTATACCATTTAATGAACCGAAATTTTCATATAAAGAAACGGAAAATCATATTCGGGAATTGTCACAAAAACACGTTCGGACCCTACGTCTATGGGGAAAAATCATATATTATTACCTAATGGATTTATTATTCCGTACCGCAATGATGATGTGGTATTCTACATTCGCGGATATGCGTACACTCAAAAATTGAACGATTCTATTCTTCCACCTGGTTCTCCGATTCCTTCAAATTATGGAAAGATCGCGGGTGACCTATCAAAATCGGCAGCAATTCTCTTACAATCTAGGATTCTCGAGTTTCGTCAAGCCTATTCTCATTTTGCGTCTTCTGATGAAACGGAAATGAAAACCGTCAACATTAATGATTTAGCTTGCCACATTTTCAAAACAAAGCAGCCGCAAAATTCGCAGGTCCTTGCAACAATCATGTATGTACTTAAGGAGAATACATATTTTATGACTGATCCTAATAAATTGAGAGAGAGTGGAAGATTTCAGCTGAGAGCTAAAGCTGATGTCAATGCTATAACAAAAGTGTTGGAATGGATCCGAACACGGGATACCAAATGTACCGAGTTCCAATCAAAAGCACAAGCAATCATCAATTATAAACGTTCGATCACGGAGAATAAAAATAATCTTGATATCTCATCTACTAGAATTGAATCTCTCCCAGAATTCACCGAGGCTGATAAGCTGTTCATTCATTTTTTCAAGTCTTATGTTGTAAATAGTAGTTCATTTGACGCGTCCATATCTGCTATGCTTAAACCTATGAAATTGTATGACACTGACCTTGATAAAGAATGCGCTATCAGGTTCCTGAAAGACATAGGAGTGTGGACGCCGTGGGAGAACTTGAATGCTTATGAGCCATCAATTATGTTGAATGGTCATGGTGTTTCAAGAACGGCAGATAGTGATTACGAAGAGTCTGTAAAACTAGCTGAGAGTTTGATGAGTACAAACCCGTTTATTTACAAGCAAAAATATACGTTTCCTGAGGAGTCACCATCATCTTTGACCTCTTCAATGAGGCAAATTCTCGTTAAAGCATCTTCGAATCTTGGGCCAAAAGATTTCTATCAACATGATATTTGTGAGGATATCCGACATGATTTCGGCGATCTTCCAGTTTACACAATAGACGACCATACGGCGCATGAGCTTGACGATGGAATATCAATTGAATACGTTGACGCTAATAAGTTTGAACCTTCCTCAACTTGGGTTCATGTTCACGTTGCGGATCCATCTACATATATTCACCCCACTCATCGGTTATCACAAATTGCGCGATCAAGGGTTCAAAGTGTCTATTTTCCTGAACGACACTATGCGATGTTGCCATCTATAATGAGCGAAAAAAGATTTAGTTTAGGAGTCAACTCAGAAAGCAACGGTAACTCCGTTATGTCATTCAGTTTTCGAATAGGAGGCGACGGAAATTTATTAGACTATAGTGTGCGACCAGGCATCGTTAGAAACGTAAAGACCTTGTTCTACGACGATGTGGACACGATTTTATCGTGGGAAAACATCGGTGGTACAAAGGAAGAAATTGATTTTTTCCAAAAACAGCTGCATTATCATCCTCAATTGATTCCCGTGCCAAAGAACGTACACAGAGAACTACCGCCTTCTTCAAAAGAAGATCTTAATATGTTACAGAAAATTTCATTTTTGCATGCAAAGAATAGAATAAATTCTGGAGCAATCAGCATGGGAACACCACAACCGTCAATTCAGTTGTCACCGTTTCCACTTCCAGCTGCGAATCCTGACCCTCAAGGTCCAATTTTATATTCTGGAATGCCCACAATTCAGGTTGGACTTGATAAAAGTATGCATTCTCCCGCTCGTGCAATGATCGCTGAGTATATGATATTGGCTGGTGTTGTTGCAGCAAAGTTTTGTCAGGAACGGAATATTCCTATCTTATATAGAAAACAAGAAATTCCTAATTCGCCAATTCTAGAAGAGGGAATGAAATTCAAAGATATGCGGAATGGAATTATTCCCGTTACGTCCATAGTAAAGATGCGCCCGATGATGACACCCGCTGAACTTTCAACAGAGTTTGGGCCACATTGGGCCATGGGAATCCTTGGTGGATATGTAAAAGTTACATCACCACTGCGTCGATATGGAGATATATTAGCGCATTGGCAAATGAAGGCTGATCTTCTTGGATTGAAATTTCCGTTTTCTAAAGAAGAATTGACGAATATGGCAAAACACATTCGATCAAGAGAAAGGGAAATAAGTAGGACACAAACACGTAGTGAAAAATTCTGGATACTTAATTTGTTCAATCGTATGATTGAAGCCGGGACTTTACCAGAGCTAACTGGAATAATAGTAGATATTTTGGAAAAGGGGGAGAAAACAGTGATTTTGAAAGAATTTGGAATTCTCGGAAAGTTCAGTGGCACAACGGATGGGCAAGTTGGTGATGTACTAAACGTGAAACCAACATTAGTTCAGCCAAATAAAGTTCATCTGTGTTTAGGACCTGCATAGTATTTATAAAATTGTAAAAAGAAAAAAATTTTTTAATAAATAATTTTAAAGAATTATCCTGTAAAATTATTATTAGAACAGTATTTTTAATTTATTTAACTTTGATTTGAATATTTATTGTTTGATTTTAAAAAAGAAATACAATGGTCTATAGGAATCAACCATTATTTAAATAATAAAAAATTGTAACAACAAAATTAATAATTATTATTTAATAAAGAAATTAATGTATGATTCTTAATTAATTTTCATTAGAAATAATTTACATATTAATATATGTACAGTATATGAATTATTTGATTCTTTACAAAAGTCTAATAAGATAACAATTATAAATAAAAATATATTTTTCTCAAAAATATGTGTTTATTTTATTTACTTATTATGGTAATTTATTATTGAAAAATAATAATTATGTTGCTAAAATTCATAAATCCTTGACACAATTAATTGAGACATGGTGCAATTATTTTTGAGAATTTTGGGAATTGAGTCAATAGCAAATAATTTATGCCACATATATAATTATAATAATATTCTAATTAATATTTTAAAATATTAAAATTTTCATTTATAAGATAAAATTTTTCTAATATTATTATAAAAAACAATTTTTTTTTATTTAATTAAACAATATAAAAATAATAAATTTAATGATTATTAAATTAATAAAACTTTTCTTCACTTATTTTAATATATATATTTTTTAGAAATATTTTAGAAAACTGTAAAAAAAAATGTATTAAATATATAATAATTAATAATTTTTAAAAAATATAATAGCAAACAAATAAAGAAAACAATATTAAAGTATAAAAAACTAATTTGATCTCAATTTTATATAAAAAAAAATTCAATAATATATAAGATATACTTAAGATCATTATTTATAAAACTGTTAAATTAATTTTTTTTTTTATTAATATTAATTGAAACAAAAACAAAAACAAAATATAAAAAACACAATAATAAAATAATAATAGTTTTATTAAAACATAAAATAAACAATATAAAAAAATATTTATAAATAACAACTTATTAAATACTTTTATTTTTAATATAATCAAAAATAAAAACAAATATTATATATTATTAATATATTATTAATTAAAATAGATTATTAAAATAAAAAAATATTTGATAAAAAACTCTTTTCACTAATTCTTTTGCCAATCCAAAAAACAGATATTCCAAAGAAATTTTATATTTCTCTATAACAAAGTCTATACATTTTTTCTAATAACATTACTATTCAAAGACTTTTGTCTTTCCCTACTTGTTTCTTTTTCTTTTTAATATAAACTTTTTATATTTTTGTAAGTAAATATAAGAAAAACCTACCTATAAAATTAAAGGCAAGAACACTTTATTATGAAAAAAAACCTGTAGGAAAAATAATATTTTCCTTTTTTCCAGAGATTTAAGACTTTAGAAAAGATTACCACTAACTTTTAGAACACTTTTTTTATTTTTTTCAAGTCTCTTTCCTATCTTATTAAGTGTGTATAATTTTTTTCTAGTTTTTCTGAAAAATTTTACTTACTTCAGTTTGATTTTGAATTTTTGATTACACTGGAACTTTTGAATAATAATTGACTAGAAATTTGAACTGGTTAATCTATACATAACAAGAAATGTAAACAAGACATATAACTTCTATGTGCCTCATCTTATACAATAATAAATCCAATGATATTATTGAATATAATGAAAAAAGCAAGGTAATAAGGTATTAATTTAGTCAAGATGTATTATAGTGCTCTTTCTTCTCTTTTGAATTAATTTTTTTTCTTTTCAAGATCAAAAAAAGTCTCATTTCAGTTTAGTAACAAGCTTTTTCTATTGTTAATTATCTTGAGAAGACATTAAGCAATAATTTCCTAAGATGTAAGTCTTATTCCAAGCAATAATTCCTTATAAGTATAAGACTTGTTATAAGTATCTTGAACATTCTTGATTAGCAATGGAATAGTGAAAATTAAATGTTTACCTAGCTACAAATGATAATAAAAGATTTATTCTAATAAACTGAAGTTGATATTGAAGAGTTTTTATTTATCAGAACAAACTTTTCAATTATCATTTTTATTCTCCTTTTTCTTTTTAAAAAATAAATTTTTTTTTACCTCTTAGGATTACAAGTTTGGATAAGAGTGATAGTCTAAATTATACATGTTTCTGAAATTCATAGATCCTTGATACAATTGATGCAATTATTTGATGCAATTAATTGAGTCACTATTAAAACATATAAATAATTGAGTTATAATACAATTATTTTTGAGGATTTTGAGAATTGAATCAACAGAAAATAATTTACATCACATATATAGGCCAGACTATTGGTTTCTTTTTAGATATTCTTTTTGTTTATATAGATTATATAGTTTAATTAACATAGTTTCAGTACAAGTAGCCTATATGATTGTGCCCCAGTTATATATATATATATATATTTTTGCTTTTCATTTTATTCTTATATCTTATCAAATTTTCAAAATAAGTAAGCATAGTCACTATTCTTAACTATATTTAACATATAGTATTGTTTTAAAATTTCTTTTTCAATATTAGCTAGATATAGATAGCGTAGGCAAACTAGCATTAAACTTGCTGCTATTGTATGTAAGAGATGTTGTTTCTTTCGCAATGTATGCTTTTTAAATATATAAACAAATAAAAAAATAATATTTATTTACTGGAAAAAAAATAAATTAAATTAATAATAAAATAAATAATAGTTTATTAAAGATTTAGAAAAGGAATAAAGGCCAAATAATGTAATGGTTATAATTATAAGAAATCTATAACTGTGTTTTTCTCCAAAAGAGCAAAATGGCCATTCTTATATATTGTTTTTGATTGTACAATCATCTCTTTACTCGTTTATTAATAATAAATAATAATTCTATTTGGAATGAAAATTCCTAAATTACTCAAAACTATATTAAATAACTAGTTTTAGTGACTTTAATAAAATACATTCTTCTAGTTATTTTGCTTATAGTTTTATAGAACAAATTTGATTAGTTTTTTTAATAAAATAATAAGATATTTTGCTCCAAAGATTGTTTGCCATATAAAAACTATAGAAATTTAAAGAATTGGTAAAGATTAACAAGTTAATCACGTGATAACATGATCTCTGATATATAATTATCTTGAATTATAACACTATTCCTTCTTATAAATAAAAATTTTAAGAATAAATTCATAAAATAATAATAAAATAATATCAAAAGAAGCTAAAATAATAATAATAATAATAATAATAATAATTAAATAATATAATAGAATTAATTATTTTATTACAATATATAGCTATTGCCAATTTGTCATGTGATATACATTTTAAGTATAAAATATACTGATTATTGGTATATTACCAGGTCCTAGTAAACCAAGCTTATACAAAATAAATCATTATATTGTATCAATTGTTGATGAATTGATATAATTATAGCAAGAAATAATATTAGAATTGATTGTTGAAAATAAAAAAGGAAGAATAATTTGAACTATTTTAATTTTAGTTTTCTGTAATATTCCTATAGTATATAAAATATGTGAACACATTTTGACACTAGTATCTTATTATTATTGTAAAAAAAAAGTCAATTATATGAATAATTAATATAACTTTGATATAACAATAGGCTCTTTGGATGTGCCAATGTTTTCTTCTTTTATTGCAAATGGTCTTAACAAATCTATTAAAGTCTTATTACAGTAAGCTTAAAAAATAAATCTTATTAACATATGATCTGATTAGTATAATATATATATTATTAATAGTAACTTTTAATTACAAATATAAAATAAAAGATTTTATTAACAAATATTTTTTTTACAGATATTGTATACAAAATTATCAAAATATATTACAAAAAATAATCTGAATCAAAATATATTACTTTAACTTTTGCATTAAGAAAATATTTGCTTATGAAATAAATAATGAAATTGTTAAAAAAATATAAAAAATTCCTTACTTTATTTAGAAGCTATTTATCAAAGAAACTTGTATAGTAATAAATAGAATTGAAAAAGAAAAAAACATTTCTGGTCTGACTTCAATTGATAGTGATTGTTTGTTTATAAACAAATATTTATTGCTATATAAATATATTTTTTATGAATATATAGTATATATAGTCTTATTAAATTATTGACTAATAACATTTGTAAAATATTTCAAAATATATTTGAAGAAAGTGAATTTGAAATTTATAAACAATATGAACAAATAATCATATTTGTGTTATAAACAGAAAAACTGAGAAAACTAATAGTCAAAGATTTATTGTTAATAAACTGATAAAAAAAGTATAAGATATGTATTGAATAATAGAAAAAAATGGTAATACAAAATAAATAAATGGTTTTATTGAAAACTTGAAAAAATAATTAAACTCAATTTTAAAAGATAAATCTAAATAGTAATGGTAATAATATAATATATGATCTGTGGATCAATAGTACAGTAGTTAGCACTTCACAGGTTAGATCATAAGATATCAGTTCAATCTCATGTGGAGATAATTTAATCAAATTAAAAATGATATCTGGTGCCATAACCTGTTAAGTACTGTTTCTTATAAGAAGCCAATTTATATACTAATCCAGCAGATATTAAGATTGTGACCTAGTCATAAAAGGAGTTGTGGCATGACAATCATCCAGTTGATGCTATAATAATTGTCAGAAGATAGTTAAAAAGATGAAAAAGAAGTCTGGTTTTGAATAATGATAGTTTGGTGATCTTTTCTCATGATATCTAGGGTGTCTCTTTCTACAAAAGTAATTATAAAAATTCTTTCCAGAACTGCTCTAATGGTTGTTTTTTTGAGTTAGGCTGCTGCAGTAAAACTGACTCTATAGACAGTTAGTCAGTATAAGTATCTAATTATCTGGGTGGTTTAGGAATTGGTATAGCATAGGATGTAGAAGATTTTCTTAATAGGATTTTATTCACTTAAGATAGGTATTACCCCAGTACG